ATAACGGGCTAGATGTTTACGTGACGTGTGTGTGTGTGTGTGTGTGGGCGTGGGCGTGGGTGTGGGTGTGGGTGTGGGTGTGGGTGTGGGTGTGGGTGTGGGTGTGGGTGTGGGTGTGGGTGTGGGTGTGGGTGTGGGTGTGGGTGTGGGTGTGGGTGTGGGTGTGGGTGTGGGTGTGGGTGTGGGTGTGGGTGTGGGTGTGGGTGTGAGTGTGTGTGTGAGTGTGAGTGTGAGTGTGAGTGTGAGTGTGAGTGTGAGTGTGGGTGTGGGTGTGGGTGTGGGTGTGGGTGTGGGTGTGGGTGTGGGTGTGGGTGTGGGTGTGGGTGTGGGTGTGGGTGTGGGTGTGGGTGTGGGTGTGGGTGTGGGTGTGTGTGTGTGTGTGTTACGAAATTCGTACAGCATGTTCCAGTCAACCTCCTGGGCTCAAATTTTGCACAGCAGATGCTACCAGCATGAAAGTCCAACACACAAAAGTACGAGCAGATTTGTTGATTCCTTAAAACTGCGCGTCAAACGGTTCCACTTTGCATTTGGGCCGCAAATTTGGGTCCGTAATTCAACTTTTTGCAGAGTCGTCGATGTTTATGCCAATTAAATGTGCAAGCCATGAATATAGGCCGAAAAAAGTGATTAAAAGTCCATTACTTTACAAAAACGGCGCCAAAAAGTATTGGTTGCGTAAATGGTCAGTTTGCCAAGGTTTTAGCGGAGCATTTCACGAGATTTTGCACAAAGATGTAGCTCACTGTGACTGCTGTTTTTATTGCAACTGTCAAGACCATGGGGAAATCGAAAACCTTTTAAAATTTGCGTTTATTTCCCTGCAAAAAGTCTCATCCACGCGAAATCACCGATTTCACATAAAAAAAGCTCTCGGAATGAGTAGTTGTTTACATTTTGTTCGTGATGTCGACATTTCTCGGTGAGTTCTAATGCCATCATTATGCGAGAATGAGTAGGGCCTAGATAGTAGAGCCAATGGGAGCCTCTGCGAAGCAGAGGTGACGCCCTGGTTATCTATATGCTCTACTACGATCTCGCAGAGCGTTGTAATATATTTGTGCTTCAATAAACTGATGCCTTGTTCGTAACGAATATGCTTTGCCATGATACCAGTTTGACTAAATCTGCTCTCAAGCCCCGATACCGTTGGTCATGAGCGTTGAACCGAACTTCAGCATGACTTTGCAAGATTTTACAAAGTTCCTTTGACATCCCCTTTGTGTAATCAGCAACACAATACAGAAGCAAAAAAGAATATCTTGAGGTTGTTAGTACAACAAAAAAAGCGAAAGAACATGTTTTGAGTTGATTCATTAAAACCTCTGTCGATGTTCATATATCAAATCTGTAGACTACAACGAATGCAACAAAAAAGCGAAAAACATGTTTTGAGTTGACTGATCAAAACCTCTACCGTCATATATCATATCTGTAGACTACAACGATCTGGCGATTATTACCGCACGGTTCAAAAGACGCTGTGACACGCAAGTGATTGGAGCGCGTTACATCAAGGCGTGTGTTAATGCTATTTTTGGTTGAGAAAAAAAAAAAGAGAAAAGATGGTTTGATTCGTTCTCTCCACATTATGATAGATACCAAAGTGTTCTATTCGAACCAAAGTCCAAAACTTATGTGAACTCCCCGTATTCACGCTCCAAGACAACCCACCAATTGGTTTGGTGTTGGTCTAGCAAGCAGCAAAATTTGGGAAAAGGTATTAGGACACATAAGTTTGCGAGTCTTTGCGAAGCAGAGGAGACGACTGGCTATGAATAATGGCGTTATAATTATCTGGCCTCGGGCAGAGTTCACGCGATTTGATCGTCGCGGACTGATCGCGACAAGACAACTGTGATAATATTATTGCATGCCGATCTTCTTGAATTTCGGTTGTGATAGTTTTCCAATGCGACTAGTTGTGACTAACTGTCACAACCAATATACAAAAAGATCGGCATGCGAGGAACTCGTAACACTTGTCTTGTAGCGATTGAATCGCGATATCAAATCGCGTGAACTCCGAGGCCTCTGGGAAGCTCCATTTCCAAGTGAGTGCTCTAAAAGTTAGAACTAGGTTTGTCTTCCGGAAGTCCCTGACGTTCGTCCGAAGGAGCAGGCTGCATCTGCATTCTTGGGAGGGGGGGGGGGGTTGATTGTTAGTTGCAAATGTTACACATTTTAATACAGGAGTGTACAAAAAAATTTCAGAGTCACAAGATGCGATGTTGTTCAAAAAAACCAGGTGTCTTTATAATTTTGTCCAGCTTTGTGTAGGGGTTTTTCGAATTTTTCTATTTTTCTCCGTTTGAACTCAACAAAATTGGAAGCCTTTTTGAGTGGTCATGGTAGGCTAAAATGCGCACTATACACAAGGTTTCGGACAGATTCATCAACAAGAACGCAAATTACGACGATTTCTAGAGTGTTATCATAATTATGGCCAGCACTGTATAATGACGCGTCCGCCAGATGTGCCATTGCAATTTTGCGATCTAGATCTTGTGGTATTATTACAAACTCTCCGCCTTTGTCGCTGTCGCTTTTAATTTGATTTGTGTTTCGACTGTGTATAAATTGATATGCCTTGGTTTTCTTTTTGCAAGCTTTTTTCCAAAGCGTGTGAATCAGTGATGTCTAACATTGGATTGCCTTGTCCCCTTTACCTCTTCGCTAAACTGGCCTTTAGTTGATTAATCAACCAGAACTGAAGTCACTGCACCAAAAATTTGGCAATAAGCGCTTGAGTATTTGAGAGTGCAGCACATATTCAGTATAATGAGCAATGATTTGACTATATTTTCACAATTTTGTTCATGCTAGAAGACAATCAAAAAGGGTTTTACTGACGACACAAAGGCAAACACAAACTTGCTTTATTGCAGAAACAGATAAATACCGACTCAGGGAGGATGACTAACTCACAAAACCACTTGTAGCCGGTACCAACTTTTCATTTGTATGGAACTATGGAGCATCAAACAAATTGAGATCGATCTAATCGCGTTCTGCTGGACGGATGGGTATGTTCTTTTTGGAACGGCTAGAGGAACCAACTTTTGGTGCCTCGATGGTCAACTGTCCCTTGTCGTTCAGTTCCGAGTGGAGTGCGTCGGGATCTGCATCTTCTGGCAATGTCCATGAACGGACGAATGACCTGTAATAGTGTTTTTTGCTAGAAAAATACAATACATATCATTCATTCTATGACTAAGAGACGCGAACAAGCTTTGCGTACATTTCATTAACAAGTTCATGAATGAGTTTGAACGGGTTTTGGTTGATTTGCTATTAGTTTGTGGAAGGAGTGTTTGAGCTCGTGAATCCACGCTGCAAACATGTTCTTCCAGGAACTAAGAGTAAATCAACCAAAACGCGTCAAAACTCATTCATGAACTTGTTGATCAAATGTACGCAAAGCATACTCGCGTCTCTTAGTCAGAGAATGAATGATATACCCATCTATAGAAGTTGTCGGTATGTTTCACAATGCTAATTTATTAGCTGCTTGACACTGTCTTGTAGTGGAATGCGATTGAAAGGTTGAGTTTTGCTGTAAAATTCGCTGTTCTTTAGTTTTTTAGTCATTCAAATCTTTGCTTGCGCTTGTTCGAGCACATTTTGCCTTAATCCTTGATCCTGAAAACTCCTAGCAAATTGCCGAACGCGTCGCGACTGAAATCGCGTAAAGTATGCCCGGCCCTTTACCACGCAATATTAGTCAAATGACCGAACAACGGTTTCCGGCGTCAAAAATAAAAATTATAGAATAATAATAATAATAATAATATAAAATCATAGAATTTACGAAGGCGCGTTTTTGTTCATGACTATTTACCTGGCCATAAAGCTGTGATCATCCTTGTGTTCTTGCTTTCCCTCAACGGTCAGAACCCTGCCATCCAGATTCACTTTCAATTCCTCTGGTCTAAACTGAGAAACATCAATGGAAACCGCGAATTTCTTGTCATCATTTACCAGCTAAAATTATGGCTTAAATTTCTGACCTGGGTCCTCAGCCCCACCTTGTGAGCTTCATTAGCCACTTGTAAAATGGAGTAATCTGCATCTCGCCAGTAAGGCGCAATACCTCCACGTCCGTTTTTTGCCAGTTCTCTCATATACTCGTCCATCATGCGATCCATCATTCTGGACATGTGCCAAAACGACATTTTCGACGTCTGATTAACTTTCTGATGTGCAGCAGCAGTTAGTGGACGTACAAAGCAAAATGAAACACCACTAACTTTCATGAGCCTCGTCAGCATGAATAAGTGGAATCCTATCAGAAGCTATCACTTGGCTTGCACGTTGGGATAAGTCGAATGTTCACTTTTCTGTCAAAAATGTTGGGACGGGTTTAGTGGAACGAAATATTCAAACCTTTACTTCGCCCATCATATCGGATACCTTTGAAATCAGCATACCTGGAATCTATGCGCTTTAATATCTATGCAATCTATCAGGTCCTAAAGTTAAGACACATTATGTACGTTGATACGAGATAACAATCCCCCCCCCTCCCCTCGCAACCGAGAGTAAAGTTGCATTCACAAGAATGCAGATGCAGCCTGCTCTTTCGGACGAACGTCATAGGCTTCCGGGAGACAAGCCTAATCGCCGAAATTCTAGAGCACTCACTTGGAAATGGAGCTTTTTAGATGCCTCGGACAGAGCTCACGCGATTTGATGTCGCGATTCAATCGCTACAAGAAGTGTTATGAGTTCATCGCATGCCGATCTTTTTGTATTGCAGTTGTGATAGTTAGTCACGAATAGTTGTACCCCTCACCGGGTCCTGCGATAGGGATTCTACGGCGCCAAGCCGGAAATACAGAACAAGAAAATCAAACAACAAAAATTTACTACAGAACAACGACGAAAACAACAAGGAACAAGACAAAAAAAGAAAGCCCGATCAAGGCAACCGCATGAGATGAGAATGATATCAAGTCTGAGATCCTTCGCGGGAGAATGCGGGTCTCGGCGCGCACTTCCTAAATATCCCTGTGGTTCCCGCCATAACTTCGCTTCGCGGGCTTTTCGTACGTCGATCTATCGAACGGCCCTCTCCACACGCTCCCCCCTTCGGGAGCCGATGACCTCATCGGCGGGTCATTCCTCTTTAATTCAGGCAGCGTCATCTGTTTCGCGACTCTTCTTCTCACGGCCTCGTATAGTATCTTTGCGCAGGCGACAGGAAGATCCGAAGCACTGTAGTAGAACAAACAGCTTTCTGGTGCTCCTGCTTCAATCATAATCTTGCCGTCCTCCACCTTCGTTCCGGCAGTGACTATGCATTGTCCTGGTTTAGCCTGGTGCAGCAACGTCTGATCGAGGACTTCCCATAGTTCTATAAGCTTTTTCCATTCGTCCGCGATTTTCTCCATTATAGGGGGCCACACAGTCACGATTTTTCCACCTTCTTCAAACTGCTGCACGCACGTTTTCATTACCTCGCATAAGTCACTGTTCACTGCCAGTTGGTCTTTCGGCCAGACGATGACCCATGTGCGGTAGTCCTTCCATTCCTGCAAGACTTCCTTTAGCTGGGTGAAGGTGGTGGCAACTCTTGTGAGAATGCCTCGCTTCGGACCATCTCGTTCCAATAACAGTGCTGACGCTGGGGCTGCAAATGCTGCGCCGCCTTCCTTTACCGGTCCATGGCCTTGTTCTTCGCCTTCTAATTCCATTTTGGCTCTTCTAAAGGCTGCGTCGTAGATCCTGTCAAACCCGTAATTATCGATCCTTTCGTGGCGCCTTATTCCTTCGTTTTCGCAAATGAATTCAGTCCAGTCGATGCATCTTTTATACGCCACTCGCAATAGTTTCCTCAATCCATCTGGGTCCATACAAACGGCTCCATCCTTCCAGAACTTGATCTTTGAGGCCATGTCGATGTCAGTCCTTGCGAAGATGCTTGCGGCTTTCCAGGCCTTCCACAGATTTCCAATCGGTTCTTTTGCCAGTGCTCCAGGAAACTTTATTCCTTCTAACTCTCCAAGACAGACTCTCTTCAAGCATCCATCCTTACACTGGTACTCGAGGTGTCCTTTTTCGGTTTTGGATGCAATCACCGCACCTCTGAAAGAAAACATTGTTACTTTCTTTACACTAACTTTAGGTTTCCTCCCTCTTTTGCCCCTTTTAGTCACTGTATCTACGGGCTCATCGGAGATGTATTTTGGAACTATCCTTAACATATCAAACTGAACTTGTATGGGTTCCGTTTCTTCACCTATTCTCGTAATTAGCGCGGAATTTTGGCTTGTTTCTATTACTCGAAATGGTCCAGCCCATTCTGACACTAATTTCGGATGCGTGCTCATCCCTTTCTCTTTAGGAGCCAAAAGGTATACCCTGTCGCCTACCTTCGGAAGTTTTGCGGCATCTACCTTATTCCGGTGGTCATACAGACGCTTCATCTCCCTTCTCACTCTGTCATTGTACTCTTTCACACGCTCATGTGCCTCTGCTACAACTTGCAATAACTGCGCTTTGTAATCCGCCATGTTCTCTACCATGGAGTACCAACAGAACCCTCCACTTGGGATTACTGCTGAGGGGAAATTTGGGTCCATGCCGTGAAGCACAAAATATGGACTTTCTCCCGTAGCACTATGTGGAGTAAGGTTGTATGCCATCATGCAAAACGGCAGTCTCGCATCCCATTCCACTGGAACCGCGAGGCTTTTACGCAGCATGGCCAGTATAGTCCCATTTAACCTTTCTGTTATACCGTTTTCTCGTGGATTATACCCCTTCGTAGTTACATGTTCGATTTTTGTAATTTTTGTGAGTTCTGCCATCACCTTATTTTCGAACTCTCCACCCTTATCAGATAATATTGTTTTGGGCCATCTACATCCCTCTGCTATCCACCTTATGAATAAAACCTTTGCTATCGTTTCAGCCGTTTTGTCCGGAACCGGATATGCTGCCGCATACTTTGAGAAGTGGTCAATGACCGTAACAGCATATCTGTTTCCGCTTGTTGTCAGGCCAAGTTCCAGCACGTCAATCCCTATGATTTCGTACGGCTTCTCCGTAACGATTGGTTTCAGCGGTGGTCTCACTGTCGCTCTTGGGTTATGTAGAAAGCACCGTTGACATTCTCTTGTCCACTTACTTATGTCTGCTAGCATGTTAGGCCAGAACACCTGTTTCTTGAGTCTGTTCCATAACTTATGAGCACTAAAATGTCCGAAAAAGTTCCCCGCATGTGCTTCATGAAACACTTCATATCTTGCGGTTTTAGGTACTACCATAACCAAATTCCCTTCCTCCTGATACATCTTCAGTTCCCCGCTTTCGATCTCGAAATCGGCTACTTGTATAGGATAGCGCAACCCTGGTATTTTTATCGATTTGCCCAGCTCTCTTTTTTCCAACATGGCAATAACCGGACCAAAAACCTCATCATTTTCTAGCTCTTTTAGCCACCTACTTCTTTGTTCTACCTCTAGTCTACTCACAACGGCCTCACTTGCATCCGCATTTTCCCAGACTCCACGCTCTATAGAGCCCCTACTTAAAGCATCTGCTACGACATTAGTCTTTCCCTTCACATAGTTTATTACCAAATTGTATCTTTGCATTTCTAGTGACCATCTTAGTACTCTAGCCGATACGTTACTCCTACTGAAAAGCGCTGTCAAGGGTTGGTGATCTGTCAGAACTATGGTAGGAAGTCCGTATATGAACATGTGGAAGCGTCTTACCGCGAACACTACGGCTAAAGCTTCCAAATCAGTAATGTGGTACCGCCTCTCTGCCTTGCTGAGTCCTTTCGAGGCAAAGTATACTGGGTGTACTAGCCCGTCGTCCCCCTCTTGGGACAGCACCGCTCCTAACCCTACCGTAGATGCATCTGTGCATATCACGAATGGTCGGGATCCTTCCCTTGCTTTCTCAATATCCGGCTGCATCAATACAGGCGCAGAGGCTATCATTTTCTTCAGCTTAGAAAATGCTTCTTCATGCTCTGCCTCCCATTTCCACACAGTTTTGGGTGAGGTCAACGCAAATAAACTCCCCGCCACCTTGGAAAATCCAAGGCAGAATTTGCGGTAGTATGATGCCATGCCGAGAAATGTTCTCAGCTCTTTGGAACTTTTCGGCACCGCATACCTCTCGATTGCTTCTACCTTTTTGGGATCCATGTGCACTCCTTCACAGTCGATCACATGCCCCAAGAACGCCACTTTTTCTTGCAACAAAACGCACTTCTTCGCCTTCAATTTTAGTCCCGCTTCTTGCAAGCTTTTGAATACCTTACCAAGTAGCTCAAAATGCCTCTCTCGTGTGTTTGTACATAAGATTATGTCGTCGATGTAGCAGAAAACTTCATCCCCTAATACATCTCGTAGTACTGAATCCATAAGACGTTGGAATACCGCTGGACTTGTACTCAACCCAAAAGGAGTTACTCTGAACTGGAACAACCCTTCTGTTGTCGTAAATGCCGACTTCTCCCTTGCTTCCTGTGCCAGTGGTATCTGCCAGTACCCCGAACATAAATCTAGCGTGGAGAAAAATTTCTTGCCTGACAGGCTCTGTAGCACTGCATCAATCGTAGGCAGTGGATACGAGTCAAGCTTGATCCTTTTGTTCAACTCCCTGTAGTCCACACATAGCCTCAAACTACCATCCTTCTTCTCCACTAACACTATCGGGAATGCCCAGGCTGAACTACTTTTTTCTATGATCTTCCGATTCTCCAGGTCCTCTAGAAGCTCCTTTAGCTTTTTGCGGATCCCTAGTGGCACGGGTCTGGTTTTCAGCTTCACTGGTTTAGCATCACCAGTTTCAATGGACATCTCTGCTCTGTCCGTTCCCGTCAATTCTGTGTCGAATACAGCAAACGCCTCCTCGAATTCGTCCACTAATCGTTTCAAGTCGCCATCCAGCTGCTCTACCTTGGAACCTTCCCTCAGCTGTGCATACAGGATGTTACGGCGTTCCTCCCTATCGAGGTGTGGTATCTCACTGTCCATCATTAGTAGATTCATTTCTTCCCACTTACTTTTCCACTTCTCTGTTCCCCATTGTCCTAACTCCTCTCCTTCTTCAAGAATCATTGGCTTCTCCGTGGTGTTCATGACTGGAATGTCCAGTTCCTGATTCTTCACTGTGAACACCCCGACGGGTAGGTCCTCCCTACTTGGCCACACTACCCTCTCTCCTAGTTCACTGCCTCCTTCACATCGCGCCGGCACTAGTATTGAGTTATGTGGAGGAATGTACACCCGCTTTGTTACTACTACTCTTTTCCCGTCGAGCACATCCTGTTGCCTTTCCTCCGTTTTGAGTATTATATCGACTCCCAAGGCTGCCAATGCATTCGTGCCGATCAGTACATCATCATCCTTGACATCCGATATGTGGAATGCTACTATGCTCTTCTTTCCCCCTTCTAATTTTACAGGGACTTTAACAGCTCCCAGGAAGTTCATCCTGTTGGTCGAGGCGTCATATACCTGGTTTAACTTTCTGTCGGGTATCACCTCTAAAACATCTACGTCATAACCTGCCTTCTTCGCGCGTGCCAGCACCCCCACAGGAACAATGCTAATCATCGACCCTGTGTCCAGTATAGCTGGTACCTGCAGATTTAGCATGCTTATTTGGGCCGCACATTTCTCACCTACCAATGAACCTTTACTCCCCATATATACCTTAAGTCCTAGGCTCGTCGCTTTACCTATCACTTCGGTTAGGTTATCCTGTTTTCCGTTTTGCAGGAACCCCTTAGTTTTCTCAATCTGGTTTACTTGCGTGCGCTTATACGGACACTCTCTCCCAATATGTCCATATCTTCTACAATTGAAACATCTTCTCTGATCCGTGCCTCCTCTTTCCTCAGGCCTTCCAAGCCCTGTATAGAGCTTTTCTTGACAAGCCGGCTTCCCCGAACAACTTGTCTTCCTCCATGCCACTCCTCTTGTAGCTCTATTTTGATCCACTTCCACACATCTACTCATATCTGTCCTGCTGTTCACAGTTATTGTCCTTTGTTCGTCTGGCTCTTGTAGTTCTTTCCCACTGTGCTCATGGAACTGATACCTCTTTTTCCAATTGTACCTCTTAATTTCGTTTCCACCATCGAGCATTTCCTTTGATTGCTCTATGCTTAACGCTAGCTGCTTTACTGTATTATAGGCTTCCTGTGGCTCTACGCTGTGAATTGCGGTGAGCAGTTGCGTATGCTCCGGCCATCCCCTCAAATTATCCATCAAAATTTGTGCATACTCGAGTGACCGGTCCCCTACCGAAGCGGTAGGATTGGCTTGCCTTCCCAGCTTCTCGAGCACAACACAAAAATCAGCCACGCTCTGGCCTTCCCTACGTTTCAGCTGCCTGAGGTCTGCTAATGCCCGTAACCTCCCCGCTGTTGAGTCGTTAGCTAAGAGTCTTTTTAGTGCTTCCGCTACGCTTTCAAAGCCCCTCGCTTTGATTTCTTCTGGAAGCGCTAAAAATACACTTTTCGCCCTACCTTCGAGGTGGTCATCCCCCATAATCTCAATTAGTACCTCATCGTCCCTTATCACCCCTCGATATTTCCTTTTAAACCTTCTCAAAAATTCTTCGAAATTCTCGTGCCGGCCACCCCTGAACACTCCAGGGTTCACGCATGCGTTGGCCTGCATGAGAGCTAAGAGACTCTGGGACTGACCTGTCTCCGCTACGTCCTGCGAATGCTGTCTCCAGAGCCACTCTGAGTGGAGCCCATTCTGTGTCAGTGCGGACCTTGCTCTGTTCTGAAAGGAATCCGAGTGAGTGCCACTACTACTGTATCCTTCCATATTGTTCTTACCTTTACTCGGTCCCACTTCCATGCTATCTTCCATTTCTCGTGGCTTGTTAAGCACACTCTTGTGCATTTCCGACAAGACATTCATTACCTGCAATACATCCGTATTGAACATCTCGCAAATATCATTTATCATTACTATATCTTTTTCCGATGTTCTAAGAAACTCTTCTAAATCTAATACTGACTCGATGTCCCTTGTGAGTAGTAGGCTACACAAATTTCCCACAAAAAGTCTTATGTGGTTCCATTCCCCCTTCATTTTGTTTAATTCCCCACTTATTATCGTTGTTTGTTCTCCCAATACTCGCTCGATTTGTTCCCTATACTTCCCCGCTATTCTTGCATCTTCTGTTTCTTTTCGCACCCCCTCGGGAAGTGTCTGTATTGTTTTCTGTGTGTTCTCCAATCTGTCTACCATATCCGTAAGTATTTCTTCTAAATTCCTGATACTCACCTTTTTACCCGGGGCGCTAACAGTCGCGGAACTAGCCCCTCTTGGTGTCTTTCTGGCGGCACTCGAACCTTCCGCCATCTGGAAACAATCAATGATTTCCTTGTCCGTACCCTCACGTTGCAACATTATTGCGAAATCTCAATCCCATCGATCGGTTCGGCCCCCATGTACCCCTCACCGGGTCCTGCGATAGGGATTCTACGGCGCCAAGCCGGAAATACAGAACAAGAAAATCAAACAACAAAAATTTACTACAGAACAACGACGAAAACAACAAGGAACAAGACAAAAAAAGAAAGCCCGATCAAGGCAACCGCATGAGATGAGAATGATATCAAGTCTGAGATCCTTCGCGGGAGAATGCGGGTCTCGGCGCGCACTTCCTAAATATCCCTGTGGTTCCCGCCATAACTTCGCTTAGCGGGCTTTTCGTACGTCGATCTATCGAACGGCCCTCTCCACATAGTCGTATTGGAAAACTATCAAAACCGAAATTCAAGAAGATCGGCATGCAATGATATTGTCACAGTTGTCTTGTCGCGATCAATCGCGACGGTTAAATGGCGTGAACTTTGCTCGAGGCCAGATAATTATAACGCCATTATAAATAGCCAGTCGTCTCCTCTGCTTCGCAAAGACTAGCAAACTTATGTGTCCTAATACCTTTTCCCAAATTTTGCTGCTTGCTAGACCAACATCAAACCAATTGGGTTAGTTTGGAGCATAAATATAGAGAGTTCACATAGTGTTGAGCCTTTTTGATTCGGTTAGAATGCTTTGAATCTATCATAATGTGGAGAAAGCAAATCACCATAGCCTTTCACCTTTTTTTTCAACCAAAAATGGCACAAATACTCGCTTTGATAGATATCGCGCTCCAGTCACTTGCATGTCATGCATCTTTCAGTCTATGCGGCGACAATCGCATCGCCAGATTTTTGTAGATTTGGTCGAATGTTGGCCCAGAGGGTTTTTAATAGGCTGAACATTAAAGGCAGTGGCTCGGCAAATCTCAATGTAGGCAAATTTGCGCTTACCTGGGTTTATTCAATACGCTGATCCCGAAAATCCACTTTGGAAGCTTGAAAACGGCGAAAATGAGCGTTTTTCAATGCCTTTCCATTTAGAATTGGACGAGTGAAGCAAGGCTGATGACGCTAAATCGTTGCAGGACCCAATGGTCATAGCATTGCGGCGGGCAGCCTCTAATGGTGAGAAGAAAGTTGTCAACTCGTCCGGATGCGTGTAAGATTGGCTGCGCGTTTAAGTTTGAGAGCAACTATCTCGGCGGGGAAGCATGCTGTGCAACCGGGATTGCACTTTTCTCATACTTGGGCGATAAGAAAAAAGCGTCAAAATCCTGGATTGTTGGATTTTGCCGATCCACTGCTTTTAAGAGAGACTTTAACAAACACCTAAATTATGTTATTTGATTTTTTTGTTTTGCTTGTGATGCTGATTATGTAAAGGGGACTCAACGGGGATTTTGTGAAATTTTGCAGAGTTATGGGAAAATTCTTTTTTTTATAACTGCTCCATACCAACACGTGCTGGGCCTCAGGTACAGATGAAGTCAAATTTGGTGTTGTGCCAAGGCATATTCGACTTTTACTGGTGAGGAGGTCTGAACGGACAATTTCTTACTAAGTGATTAACGTATTTGCGCTTTTTCCGTGGCTCACCTTGGGATTTGTGAGTACAACATTTCCTTGCCATCTCCATAATTATTGCTGTTACTTTCTTTTTTTTTCTTTTTTTTTGTTTTGTCCAGCTCATTCCGGTTGTTGTCGGGTTGTATGAAGCACGCCTTCGGGCGTGCCAAATAAATAAATAAATAAATAAATAAACAAATAAATAAATAAATAATAGTGGTCTTGTTCACTATTTCCTACCAACTGATTACAACGCAATCCAGCGACACCAAGCAATTATGTTTTTTGATCAACTCGTTGACGACCAAGGCATTTTGGACTACATTAAAATGGACTGAGCTAAAACTGCGGTTTAGACTACTGAACAGCTACCGTGATGCCCTGTTTTCTACAGGGTGTCGCAAAAAGATGTGCACACTGTTTGATCGTTGATAACTCTCGTGCTTCCATATCTTTTGCCGAGGCTTGAGGTACTTTTCTTTGTGCGAGGTTTAACTTAGATGTACAGTATGAAGCAAATTAAAAACCACTCTTCATTAGTGTAGGATTACGGTAGAAACTTTACAACTTCAATCCTTTAGCGGTATTTTGCCTCAGAAAGAAAGCCAAACAAGCCAGAAACTCTTGAGCTGGGTTGATGGAAGTCGCTGATTCTAAGTATGAAAATTGCATTTAGTATAATGCTTGTTTCATACGTTTAGATTTAGGGTGACGATGTTTTTCCAATGTCTGTAAGAAATTGAATATGCCAGCACGAAGGCTCGAAAAACCGGTGGAAAGCTATGTAGTGAAATCAGCAGGCCTTAAAGTCTAAACAGGTCATTGCAACAAGTCCCACTCAATTTGACCCCCTCCACGCTGAGAAAAATTCGCTCAAAGTGGTACGCGGAGAGCGAGTTGGTACGCGCGGACGACTTCTTCGGTCTCCCCTCTTACGCGTCTGAACATGTCCCTCCACATGGCATCCACTTCCCCTCTGTTGCTGCCACTGTGGCTGAGGCTGATATTGGAAGATAGAACTCGTCCACGTTGCTTCCACGGGGCCTTTAGAAAACGGGGCTTTTGAAAACTTCATGTGATTTTAAGCCCATACAGTGCTAGACAGAGTCCGACAGGCATGCAAAATGCAAAAATCTCGACAACTAAATTTTGGTGAGACACTGCCTTTAAAACCTTGCGACACAAATCTTTAGATTTTTTGAAAATTAATTCGTCAAAAGGCCTACTCCACAGTGACGCTGTATGCTGGAAGCTCATACCGTAATCCCTACAGTAATGAAAAGCAATTGGTGACTCGCTCCATACTGCAAATATAAGTTGAACCTCGCTCTACAGAATGGTACCTCAAGCTCGACGAAAGACATGAAAGCAAGAGAATTATCAACTATCAAACAGTGTGTACATCTTTTTGGGACACTCTGTATATCGCAACCAGGCAACCAGTATTTTTACTGCATAGAAGCGACATTGAAAATTTTCATTTAAACAAGAAAAGGTGATGCACGAAAGGGCTGAACGAGAGTCAGTGCGTGCATATGCGCGTATGCCCACGGCCGTCAACATGTCAAAGTTGCAAGCGAAACAACTAGCTAATGTTGCTTCTTTTGCTTTGGCTAGTAAACCAGTAATCTAGAGTTGCTAGATTGGAGCGTTCGCTTCGGGACCACCGCGCGGTTTCCCGCTGTTCGCACATTTTTGAATTGAGCTAACGATTCTCTATATATTAGATACCAAAAAAAAATGCAAAACTGATGATTTAAATCGATACAGTTTTAGTTTTCCAAGCAATGTTACAGGAAAATCCTACCAAAATTGAAAGAAGCTTTGCATGCCATTTGCTTATGAGATATATACATGCAGTTTTGGAACCATGCACTATCAACCGACATGGCCATTTCCGAAAACGAGTTAGTACGAAAGCGTATGATATTTGTTATGCCATGAGTAAAAACTTGCAGTCATGATCCCAGACACCGCACATGCATCAAAGCATAAATCGAAGAAGACGTCGCATTTTTCTACCCTAAACCGGTATGTCAGTTGCATGAACATAAAAGTGTGAAAATAGCGGTGAAGGTACAGTTTCCCGAAAAATTTCCAATTTTCGTTCTGAAGAGTAGAATGCATTACAGGTACGTTATCTGTTTTCGGCAGTCGAATAAAAGTCTGCTTCAGCATACTAGCAGTACTAATACTGACCGCAGACTCTGTATCCAGAGAACCATTTGATGATCATGCTAGAAGAGCTTACGCATCGGTAGGTGCCTGGATTATTACAAATATCTCGTGAACAAATAGAGTCCTGCCTTCTCACAAACACTGTTACAGATGATTACACTGCCATACGATCCATCCATGACAAAATCACAGAAAATGAAGGAATGCCATAAATTGGACAACGTGGATGCCGAGCATAGATCTTCGGACGTATCGGCAAGGAAGCTGTCTTTGAAATGTTGATATTATAGCAGGTAATGTTAAGGAGAGGCAACTTTGTGAGCATATCATAAAATTCAACGACTGGTTGGCTAAAGAGATAGAAGGCGCCAGCGAAAAGGTCAGTTTTGAAAGCTGTACAACTACAGCTATACAACTATACAGCTATACAGATGCCTGTTTCAAACTGTCAAAATAAATTTCGGTAAATGAATCTAACAAAACCGATGCATGTCTTTGTTATTTGCTGTGCGCTTATTCACGCCGAGTTATGTGCATGTTTGGAGCGAAAAATTTTTGCAGGATCCAGACAAAATTTATTTTCTTTGTCTTTTCAGCACACAAAACCTAAAAACCACCTAACCTAACATTCATAACCAGGGTCAAGCAAGGGGTTTGGCACACGATCGCTGGTTACGACCCCCCCCCCTCCTGATGGCTGTCTTAATTAAGACCCCCCCCGAATTATCTACCTAAGATAGCATTAAAAGGCCCTGTCAAACATAATGGGCAACATATCCACAATGAGCATGTCAGTTAACCCCTGTACACAAAATTTGAGCGAATTCTGAAGATTCAAGATACTAGGCTACCTAAGTGAAATGGTCATATTCCAACATGGTTAACTTTGTTTCAAGGGTGAATTAGCTATCCGTTTTTGCACTCAAGACAAAGCACTACTCCTTTGTCCATCTCAGAAATCCCGGTTCAAAGGACCTCCAAACTGTGAAATTAAAAGCCAGCCAAAATTTCATTTCTTCCATTTTTCGCTTTTAATGGCTGTGCTTTCACCAAATATTACTCAGAGCTAAGAAGGCGAATCAGGCTTAAAACATTCCTATGGAATCTACGAGGTTTAGGCTATCGATTCATATAGATAGTTCGCTAAAAACGTGGCTGCCACAGCTTTTAAGGGGATGTGCCACACCCCATTGACTATAGCAAAAAACATTTTTAGCGAACAGTGTTTATATGAGTCGATAGCCAAAACCTCGTGGATTCTATAAAAATGTTTTAAGCGCGATTCGTCTTCTTAGCTCTGAGTAATCTTTGGTGAAGGCACAGCCATCACCAAAGCGAAAAGTGGGAAAATTGAGATTTTGGTTGGCTTCCAATTCCACAGTTTGGAGGTCTTTTGAAGCGGGATTTCTGAAGCGGACAAAGAAGGAGTAGTGCTTCGTCTTGAGTGCAAAAACGGATAGCTAATTCACCTTTGAGACAAAGTTAACCACGTTGGAATATGACCATTTCACTTAGGCAGTCCAGTATCTTGAATCTTTAGAATTCGCTCAAACTTTGTTTACAGGGGTTAATTGACATGCTAATTATGGATATGATACGGATATCATGTTATCACTATTATCAGATTATCCAACTACGACCCCCTCCTTTTTTGACTCCTCAATACGACTCCCTAGGTGTGGCGTGCCACACCCCACGTTTGACCCTTTGATTCTAGCTTTAGTGACAAATTAATGCGACGAGGAAAAATGGTTGCGCATTTTACTCTGACAAGTGCCAAAACTGGAGAACCCCTTTACGATAACACGCATTGACTCCTAAAAGAGTAGCACAAGCCCGGTATAAAACAAACTTACACTGCACAATTGCACACATGAAAATAAACTCAGCTGCAAGATTGGATGCTGCACAAGTATGCTAGAGATGTATTATAAAAACTAGTGTTAAAAGCTTATTCGTTGACTATACTACTATAACAGTGAAAGAATAGAAGTATAAAGTGAATTTAGCCCGTACTTAGGCATTCTGTGATGTGAGTTTGCACAGCGCACGCGTAACTGATGCCTTAACCCTCCAGGGTTAGTTCAACCCTCAGGGTTGATGAATACGGTCACAGGTTCGTTGATCGATAAGGGTAGATCGCGTTTCGTGGTAAACCCTAGTCTATGGTTGATGAATACGGCCAATGAACCCTGAGGGTTAAACTAACCCTGGAGGGTAAGCTTAACCCTCAGGGTTCGTTGATGAATACGGCCACAGGAATGCGAGAATCAAAAAAAAATCAGACTGGTTGTTTTCGCAAAAGCAGAAGTGGAATTTCTACACTTTCATAGTTTGCTCTGGAAGGACAAACTCAAATCCTTTTTGAACCATTCTAAGCTGATGTTGTAGAGTACACTTTGTACTATTACACAGCCTAGTTGCATTTGCAGAAGTTTAGTCTTTTACAAAACATGAAACTGTCTTTGCGAAAAATACCTGCGTACGAGCTCACAAGGGGATGGTCAGAAATCGAAGTGGCCAATTCAAACAAGCTACATACCATTAGATGCAGCAAAAAACGCTGATTTTAAATCTGTCTTCTTTACCTGCAGACTACTTTTGTGAATGAAATTATAAGCCATTAAAAGCCATTATTTTGCTAAGAAATTGTGTGTTTGAAGGGCAAACTTGGCCGTACAGAGTCATTCCTGGCTCAGTGCTAAACCAAAATATGCAGCTAAGTCACTTCATATGACCAGTACCTAAAGGTGAGCAAAAAGGGCAATAATGTGCCTAATTTCGCAATTTTTGTGTACAATTTTTTCGCATTAAAGCTGGTCATAACTTCGCTTACAAAGGCGCTCTGCAGATACGGAAGACAGATTCGAAATCAGCTTTCTAAGATGCATCAATGGTATACAGCATGTTTGGATTGGCCACTTCGACTTATGACCATTCCCCTGTCAGATAAATTACATTCCTTTATTCATAAAGCATGTAAAAAAGTATTTACCGTGATCGATTCGTGGAAATGGTCTGAAATGCTTAGAAGACATTTTCTCATTCTCACGCGCACTTAGGAGGGCAAAAATACCACTGTTTTTCAATATGGTACCTTCGCGAGTATTATTTAGAATACTAGAAACTCCTCTTCAAATTAAACCAGACCTCTTCGAATTAACTTTTAAGTTTCCATACTCAACAATGTTAAAGTCAAACCTTGCTCTTTTTTATTGCGCAAATCCAAAACAAGAGAAATGTTTCAAAAAGATCTTTTGTATAGTGCTAAACTTGTCTAACCTTTGATTTAACTGGCTTGGCGGTTGGAGGTCGGGGCTTTGCGACCTAGTTAAGGCCACTCGGGCCCGCGACGCAGTCTGCGTCACTCCCGCGCGCGTGCTCTCTGACCATTACCTAGCCTGAATTAGGTCATGAAGCTCCGCCTTCCAGTCGCCAAGCCAGTTGAATCCAATGGCACTTGTGCCTACATACAAAGTACAATTCAGCTAACAAGAAGATTCCATATTTTTCAACCTGAAAGCAGTCTTATTCTAATTTGTGTTGCATTACGATAAGAGTGGTTCGTAAAAATGAAAAAATGATTGAATCGCAGTCAAGCCCGTCTTGTTTCCTTTTGGCAGTCACAGAAACACGCACCACTTATTTTGACGCAGTCTGCAGAGAAAGAAGAAAGATTTTATTTCAGCGTTTGGGCTCCTCCAAGTGATATATGTTTCAAATGAAAAACCCACTTTGACTAATTGTAATTCCCTTATCAAGAAAAACTCTCAGATTAAAAGAAGAATTGATGACTTTGTTAGTCTATCATTATGTTTTACCTGATCTAAACGAAGTTCAAATCGCTATACCATCAAATGACTGACACAAGTTGTGCGAACCGGTTGTGCGAGTTCTTAGTTCTTACTGCATGGTTTCTGAAGATAATTAATAATTGTGCATTTTGCGTTGATTTTGATGCGATAAAAATTCTAGATGCACTCTCAACTTTTTAGGAACTATTATGTCTATGAAACAGCATTCAGGGTGTACCAAATGTCTACTTGATTGTTGATAACTCCCTTGTAATAAATCTTTTGAGAAGCTTTAGGTAGCATTTTGTAGAGCTGGCTTCAACTTAGATTTACAGTATGGTGCGAGTCAACCCCTCGTCATTTTTGTAGACATTTTTTCATAAGTCATGCCAAATATACCACAACAACCGACTTCTGCTATTGTCAAAAATCTCATTAGTTCAAAAAGCTCTACGAAAGCTCAAAATTTGTGCACTGAACTCAGCACGCATGAAAACCTTGATACACAGTTTTCCAGATTTTCCTTTTTTGGAAATTCCTTTCAAACAGCTTTTTTTCAAAGTGGCGCATATGCTGCAAGTGCTTAAAGTGTTCCTACAGTTATGAAAATAAACCTTAACTCGCCTTACTGGTGAAACAATCTAAATTGAAGCCTCTACAAAACGGTACCAAGAACTTCTTAAAAGACTTCATTACAAGAGAGTTAAGTCAACCAGTAGGGACGTCATTTTGGGACACCCTGTATAGTAACATCACATAGTACGAAAGCTAATCACTATATTGAGGTACGAGATGTTTACGATAAGACGTATGTATGGACAATTTACAAGGAGCAGAAGCTTGAAGACCCTTTGCCTGAGGTAACCTCGACTTTGAAATTTCTTGGAGAATATAGCAGAGGATTTTGAACCAATATTAGATCGTTCGGAAACTTTTTTGTTTTTTCGATCTGTCATAACTCAGACAAATGACCGGAACTTCCGCAGAACGCTTGCGCAAGTTCCGTGAACGTGCTGCGGAATTCCGAAATGAGGCCCTGCGGAAGTTCGGAAGAATGCCAACTACAACAGCAAAAGAGAACACCGGAGCGAAATTTGAACCTTACTCTATTGACTGTGAGACTCACCTACTATCCTCTGCACTACGACTGATATGTTCGATAATGCACTCCAGTTGTTGGCGAGGCAACATCACGAGACAACACATTCAAAGTCCTGCGGAAGTTCTGGCAGTCCAAAGTGCTGCGGAACCTCTGGCATTTTTTGGAATTTTCGCAGGAAAGAAGGTCCTGCGGAAGTTCCGGTTTTGAACCGGTTTGGCATGAAAATCCCGCGTAATTTCCGATTTTCAACGTTTTCATTTCTTTAGCAGTTGAAAAAGTTCCGCGGAACTTCTGCAGATTCGGCTTGTCCTGCGGTAGTTCCGGTGATTTGTCTGAGAAAAACACATAGAATAAAAATGGGTAAACACTTCAAAGACTATTCGACGCAGCTTTTCTTTTTCCTCTCTTCAACAGTCATGTTTTCAAGCCATTTTGAGATCACTAAGATAATCGTCACAATTTTGAGCCCATGGTTTTTGCCACACTCAAATTCGACAATTTCTCAAAATTTTCGGTCTCAATCTTTGGAAGAAGTGTGGTAACAGGCTGACTGAGTAAGCAAAGTGCAATACAACGAAATTTTGGTCATTTCCGACTGCTTTTCAATGATTTCAAGTTGATTTTTTCAAAAGTCTTTAGTTCTGCAAAGTAGATACAGGAATGCATCAAACACTGAGAAATCTTCGGAATTCAAGTGTTTCAACTCGTATCGTTTGATACTAATTTTATAAAGCAGTGAACGTTCACCGCTTCGAGATAACGAAATTTGGGTATGGCTATAGTCGAGTCCAAAAATTCTCAATCAACACGTTGACGACAGCGCCGCGCAATGGTGCGCGGCACCTCATATTCCAATTTTAAGGTACCCAGTCGTTCTAATTTGTGTTCATGTGATCGCTTTAAGCTGAGGGGTATTTCGTGTTGGCCTCGCCCCTGTTTTAGCAGGCTCCGCCCACTCCGCTGCCTTCTGCAAGGAGCTTTTTTCGTCCTCAAAGCGCATAGAAGAGGCCATAAATGACCCCCAATCTCAAGCGACTTCAGCCTAGGTCCCGTCCAATATTAGCGCCCCGCCCCTCAGTGGCGAGCTCCGCCCATTTCTCAGAATTGCAGAAATTCGCACGAATTCTTGAAATTCGAGCAAAATTCAGCATTTTTTGTCGAGTGGGCGGGCTTGCCACAACGGGGCGGAGCTGCTCCGCCCACTTGTAACTTAACTTTGTTCTTCACGCACAGGTGCATGCTTACGTACATGCAGCCAGGCGTAAAAATGCTGAGAAACGGCTCGCCCACAAGGACAGGCACCAAAAAAAATTGTTCGTCGTCAACGTTTTAAAATGATTTCATTCTCGAAAGTTCAAATTGGGAAGAAAAAGAATTGAAAAAAAGGAAAAAAATTGCCTATCGGAAAGAAGAGAAAAAGCTGCATTGGATACCACAGGAGCTGCTTGTCGTCATTGTTCCATGAGGTTTGGCCTGACCAGATATGGAACCTGTTACCACCACACGAATAATCTTGGTAATTCTAAAAAACCAGCTGGAGACAACAAAAAAATTCATGGTTTTGCACTGTGTTTGTCTATCCAGCTTTTATCGAAACTCTTTTGAAAGTTAAAATTCAGAATAAAAAAAAACTGAATTCGCCAATTTTGAGCATGGTAAAAACCATGAATTCATTTTTGCAAATAAGTAACCACTAAAGCAATCTGAAAACATGACTAAGAGAAAATAAAAACTGCATTTTTGAAATTGATAAAAAATTACAAAAGTGCTTGCTCATTTATGTATGTGTTTTTTTTTCTGAAACGACAATCGTTGTGGAAAAACTAAGTAGCTATGTTCTCTCTGCTTTAATGGCTGCATCTTTAGGACAATCTACCCAACACTTTAGACGATCTTGATAGACAGGAGTTTGAGAATCTGGAAGATCGCATTGCGGTAAATGAGTCGTTTTGACCTATTAGCAAGTGCAAATTCATCCTTTCAGAAAAAAGTGGACGCAGATAAAATACTTCAAATCCATCGTTTCTCAACAATAGCCCCATGAAATCCAAAGTTTTGCGTTACTTTTCTTATGAGATAATAAACATGATATGGAAGAGTTAGCTCTTCAAGTGATGGCAGATTGTACAGAAGTGATATGGAGTTTTAGCGAACTTTGCGTTAGCTCACCTTTTTGTGTAGGTAATTTGCTAATCTTTTTTTACGAAACGTTTATTACAGTGGCCGCAATATCACATACTTCTTAGCGCTCGTTTTCATTAGAAAAGCAGAGATATGAAATTATAATAAGTTTGGAGATGACAGAGAGCTCTGGCTTTAGTATGCCGCTTAAAGCTCGAGACATGAAACATGCTAGGCTTATTACCAGCTCCTCAGTTAAACATACGATCTAGAAACAAGTTATTACATTAGTCATTACCTAGTTACTACTCACTACGTTGACTGAAATGCTCTAACGTTTTCTTGCAAGAGCGCGCGCAATCTGCATGCAGTGCTGAAGCAAACATATTGGCTTGTACAGCGCAGAAACAAGTATAGACTGTAAAAGCCAGCATCGTTTATACGGCGTCGCGCGCGGCAACTCTTGACGATGTGTGACGCGTGCGAACTCTGCCACACGTCAACGCACGTTGCATGCGACGGTGCTTCGCGAGGCAACCAGCGGTACCGATACTGGTTGATACAGCCTATATATGATACTAGCTTGCTTACCACGCTCCGCCCGGCCCTGTGAAAACACTGTGATAAAGATCCCTTGCCTATCCCTGTACAGCCTTTCCCTGTGCCCACTTCTACAGTTCATTTCCCGTTCCCTGTGTTGTTTTCGAAATCAGCATGCTCACTCACCCCTCCTGTGCCAACTCCCAGCCCTGTAGCTCAAACTTTGCAAAAAATCGATAAAATCGATATAGTTATTGTGTCCTTGACCTCGGACGCTTCGATTCTTCGTCCTGTAGGGCACAGAAGGAACAAATATATTTATTATTCAAATAATAGAGAAAATAGTAGATGACGCAAAGTAGTGAACGAATGAACTGATTCAGGCTATGAGTGAGCGCCTTTTATGGCGCTCATTTCCCGCGCACTCTGAGGCTAAGATCGAATGCGCGAGGGCAGATCACTACGAGGAAAACAGCTGATCGTTTACGAACACTAACACAACACCTCCCCCCCCCCCGGGTGGTTACACAAAACTAGCCTACGACAAAAAACATGAACTACAAGAGCTAAGAAATCGGCCATACATAGATATCACTATCATTTAAACAACAAAAAAAACTAATGAAACAAACATACAGTAACATACTATGGACTAGGTTGGAACCGCTGTACAGGTCTTCTCGCTCTGCTCGATCTCCGAAGCGTTGTCGGTGGCGTAGAAGGCTCGTGGCTTGATGTCGACATAGATGTCGTTGAATTCACGGGTGCTGGCACATCGCTTGCGATCGCTTGCTCGGAACTCCCTTCAGCAGCATTGCCATTTCTCGATAATGTATCGTCTTCTGTCAGAAAATCCAACAGCATCTTCAAGGCTTCGGATTGTTGTTGAAGTTGTTTTTGTACGGCGACTTGTTCACTATCGCTTCGATGTTGCAGCTGATTTGCATGCTTCTTGCATATCTCATCACCAACTATAAATTCATAATTGACACGTCCAATACGTCTCATCACGGTTCCTTTCACCCAATGAAAGTGGGGTGGCTTCCACTGTTTAGCGTAAACCAAGTCACCAACTTCGAATTCCTTTCGAACGACTCCATGCTTGTTGTCAAATTGTTCTTCCTGCGTTCTCTTCTTCTTCGTGCGAGTGGATCTTCGGACATTGGTAGTAACAGGCTTAGCCTTGTACGCAAGTTTCTGCCTAGGAACAATTACGCTGGCGTCTTGTCGTTTAGGTTCGTATTTGGTTTGTCCTATACGCTTGTAACGCCACATTTAGAGTCTCTTCTGTTGGCCTCTCCTCCCCCTCTAGTTTGTTGATCCCGCGTTTCAGCGTGTCAACGAAACGCTCTGCCTGTCCATTTGATTGAGGGTGGTACGGAGCAGTCCTTATATGTGTGATTCCACCTTCGTCACACATCTTCTTAAACAAGTCCGACGTGAACTGAGTACCGTTGTCGCTCACTATTGTTTGCGGTAATCCATACCTCGCAAACAAATTCTTCAGAGCCTTCACCGTCTTCGCAGCCGAGATATCGCCCAACTCAATGATTTCCGGCCATTTGCTGTACGCATCTATCACGAGCAAGTAGAAAACACCTTGCATAGGTCCAACGAATTCGATGTTTATTCGCTGCCACACTCGAGTCGCTGACGGCCACGCTTCCAATGGTCGGATTCTTGGCTAACTCCTACATTTCGTGCATCTTCGTAACAAGTCTTCGCAATCCTTGTCTATATTGGCTAGTAGACGTAACTTCGAGCCAGTTTCTTCATCCTTACAATCCCTGGATGACCACTATGTAGTTCCTTCAGAACATCTCCTCGAAGCTTCTTGGGTATCACAACCCTTTCGGTTGACATCAGACATTGCGCCACGATTGACAATGGCCCGTAGTAAAGCTGCTTCATCCGATCTCAGCTGAATAAAATTTCAGTTGAGGCTTCGACAAGTCAGCTTGCCTTCAGTCGAGCCATTGATTGATATTGCCAACCACCCATGATGATAAGAGAGCGCCACGTCCATGCAAGTATACGAGTCAAGACGAGTTTGCCAAACATTCACATCTACGTCATTGGCACTAGCGGCGGGGATGTGGCCGCACTTGTTAGATTTTGTTAAGTCTTGTCAGCATCACTGTGGCTCCTCACCGACATGATAAACTGACGTGTATCGTAAGTTATTCAGGACCAACTTACGAGAATTATCTCTGCATATCATCATTGGCACACTATTTACATCAATTGGTAGTCTAACTGAATGTGAACTGACTGAAGTAAGGTAGACTACCTCGTCAGTTAGACGGACGGTCAGCTGAAATCTCATTCTGCATTCTTACAACGTGGAGAGCTGGTGATAGGCAGTCTACCTTACTGAATCTTGGATGAGGGCCTCAGTTCAATTCACCTGAACTGAATTAGCTTTACTACGGGCCAATGTCTCTCTTCGATTTCGAAAATGTGCCAATTCTCCATTCACGTCTGGTCAATTTCCTTTCTGCACGTAACTGAGTACTACTCTAAGTACTGGATCCTTCTTCGTCCAAGTTTGTACATAAGATACCGTTACTGGCAGTTTTCTTATGCAGCTCTTCAGCAAGTAGCCAGCGTCGTTCTCAACGGCAGCTATCACGACATCTTCTTCGGGATTCTGATTCTTCTTCATCAACCTTGACAAGGCATCGGCTTTTCCGAACTTCGCAGTTTTGAAATATTCTATGTCGAAGTTATATCCAAGTAGAATTGTAGCCCATCTCATAAGTCGGTTAGCGGAGAAAACTGGAACTCCTTTCTTATCACCGAAGATGGCTAGTAGTGGTTGATGGTCCGTCAAAAGTAGGAACTTTCGTCCAAATATGTACTTGTGGAATTTCTTGACTGCAAAGACAATTCCCAACGCTTCTTTTTCAATTTGCGAATAATCCTTTTCTGCTTTCTTAAGAGACCGCGAAGCATGCGCGACTGGTTTTTCGGATCCATCAGCATATCTGTGCGATATCACGCATCCGATTCCATAATCGCTGGCGTCCGCTGCCATGACGATTTTCTGCCTTGGATCATAATGTGCAAGGTTCAGCTCACACGACAAAGTTTCCTTGAGCTTTTCGAATGCTTTTTGTTGTGTTCGTGTCCATTCCCACTTCGCATCTTTCTTGAGCATCGCGTCCGATGGCCCACGAAGACTTTGATCTTTGTATGAACGCCGCATAGTACGTTATCATGCCAAGAAAAGCTCTCAGTTGACCAACATTCTTCGGCTCACCCATATTCTTGATCGCTTCGATCTTCGCTAGATTCGGTCTTCTACCATTTCTATCCACTATGAAGCCAAGATATCGAATCTCTGGCTTAGCGAAAGGACATTTCTCCAAGCGGATTCTGAATCCGTATTCGGCGATCCTTGCAAATACAGCTAACAAGTTCGCCATGTGTTCTTCTTCGGTTCTTCCACAGACCAAGATGTCGTCCAAGTAGGTTGCTACCCCTCGCAGACCACTCACCATCTTATTCATTATCTGTTGGAAGATTCCTGGTGCCGTCTTTATGCCAAAAAGCAGTCTATTGTACTGGTACAATCCTCTATGCGTGTTTATCACGACCATTTTCTTGGCTTCGTCTGACAACTCGATCTGCAGATAGGCGTCCGACAGATCTATCTGCGAAAACACCGTACTTCCATTGAGGGATGCGAAAATATCCTCTGGCAATGGTAACGGATAATCGTACGACTCCAGCGCTTTGTTGAGTCCAGTCGAGAAATCAGCACACACTCTCAATTTCCAATTCGCCTTCCTTACATATACGATGGGAGCTGCCCATTCGCTATGTGTCACCGGACTTATAACCTTCAGGTCCAACAGCCTATCAAGCTCCTTTTCGACGGCTTCGAGTGCGGCATGGGGGACAGGTCTACTAGCCTTGAAAACTGGGCGAACTTTTCCGTCAATTCTCAAGTATGCTTTCTCCTTCGTACAGAGTCCTAAACCTTCCTTGCAGACTTCTGCATAGGCTTCCTTTAGTTTCAAAAATATGTCCTATCACTTAAGCATTCTGCTTAAGTGATAGGACATATCTTCGTTCTTCTGGATCCACTCTAATCCTAGCAGTGAGTTGTGGGGCGTTACGTATGCGTAGCCTTCACTTCTGGATCCTTTGATCTCGTAGTCGCACCACAGCTTCCCATGAACTTTCATGGAGCCTCCATTAGCATGCTTGACATTCGCATTCGTTCAAAAGTGTGATGTCTGATCCAGTACCTAACAGGAAGCTGACTGGATGACTATTCACTTTTGCTTCGATATACATGCGTGTCGAGTTGACATCCACCATCGCATTCGCAATCTTCGCAATGTTCTGCACATGCCGTTTTGGCTTCCTCCAGTTTCCGTTTCTACTGACATCGCTGCTTCTGTGCATTCTTCGTCTCGAATCT